AAATTTGAATAGTATTTGAATAGAAATTAGTTATATGTACTAAATTTGACCTCCTTTAGAATAGTTTGGAAGACTGGGGCTGGAATATCATTAAAATAAGATAATCAAATAATATTAGTAATAATTGATAATATACTACAGTACATTATATTAAAGGGTACTTCAGACCAAAATATTTGTATAGGCCAGAAGACATCTATAACATATATAAAACATAGATAGAAGTAATATTATGTCACACCTCTTGAAGCTCTTCATTACTGTGAGACTCTGATGTGACTCTTAGCAGCTCCTCTTCATGTTTTTGGATCTGTTCTTGAAAACGTACATCTTTTTCACAAACAACAGCCTGCAATATCTGAACCTGGAAAAAAAACATTAGTGGCACTGTCTTTGGGATATTCGGGCTAGTTCCTAGTTTTGCTATTGTGGTTGTATTTTATCTCACCTGTTCACCATGAGCTGATTCCTTGTCTTGTAGAAGTTGCTCTATGGCCTGTAGTTTGTCTCTGAGATTCTTGTTTTCATCCTCCTCTTGACTCAGTTTAGTCCTCAGCTCCTGCAGTTCCTCCTCTGAAGCCCCACAAGCTCCTGTAAATGAACTGTCAGGAGTCTGACAAAGAAATAATAATGACAAAAAAATATTAGTCATGGCAAATGTGCTAACAATAAAGGTACAAAGTTAACTTACTGCTGCGCCTTCATGTCCCTTTAGTTCATTTATTTGTTTAGTGAGAGATGCCATCTTCACTTTGGCTTGCAATTTAAGTTTAGTGAAGCGAGCCTCAGCTGCTTCACTTTCACTCTGGAGGGAAATAAATGTAAAGTTGGACTTAAAAAGACTTAAAAAAGGAAAGATATGTAGAAATTAGTTTAAATTTGACAGAGATTACTTATCTGTGTCCCCATACAAAATAAACACATTCAAATCAAATATAGCCTTTACTGAGAACAACTGTAATGAAGACTTATTCAAACTTCTAAAAAAAAACATTGAGTATGATGACCAAATTATGGAGGTTTTCAGTTGCTATTTTGGTTCTCAAGCTGATTATCCAATGAGAAAACCACAGGCTACACATCCTACATTTAATAAAAGCAACCCCAGGTGAATATTACCTTAATCTGTGCATCTTTATTGGCCAGCTCCGTGTCCTTTTGCAGCAGTTGAGAGTCCTTATCCCGGATTAGCTCCTTCAGCTGTACAACAAGCTGCTCCAAGTGGGCCAGTCTCTCCATGGCCTCCTCCGGTACCTCAGATTCAGAGATCTGATGATCACCCACAGGAAGTCTCGGATCAAGTACTCCCTGGAAAAAAGAAGAGGACAAAGAAAAGTCTATGTATACTTGTTGTCACCTCATTATTGTTGAATTTTGCTTTGTTAAAAAAGCCTTTTTTAAGGTGCAATATGTAACTTTCCCCATACAGAGTCTGCCACTTGCTTATCTACAGAGAGATGTTACTGCCATTAACTAGAATGTTACACAGTATGGCATTTTCTCATTGGAGACAAGCAGTAATACCCTGAGGCCAAGTTACAGGTCAGACCTGTGAAGACTGGCAGGTCCACACACAGAAATAATGCATGTTTTTCAGTGTATTTTTTTTAGCAACTAAGCACTTTTATTAAAATGAAAGATAATGCAAAGATGCAATAACATCTCCCTGGAGGCAAGAGGATAGATAACACCCCATACCCAAAAAGTTATATTTTGTTTAGACAGAGTTTTATATTGCTAAAAAATAAATAAATAAATACTTGTGAGTCTCCATCAGGGCTCTCCTCTCCAGAGAGGTCCTGGAGAACATTTGCCAGACGGCTCAACATTGAGCTGGCACTGAAAGGATAAAAACATGATTTAATAACACTTTTACAGCAGGTGTACATTAATGAATAGATTTTTACTATAATAGATTTCGCCTTTTAGTCTATAAGATTAATCTGATTTATTTTGCTGTCTTATTTTGCATTTTAATTCTGTTTGAGATATCTGTGAAAACTTTTGTTTACATAATCAGCTGACATGTTGGTGGGCGATCCATGGGAGGATCCTTCCCATTTCCTCCATATTGTCGAAACCTGTCGAACTTTACCGAGACAGCCGCAGACCACTGCGGCTGCGTGGTCATTTTCGTGCACTGCAAAGATTTTAGCAAGCTAACGCGAAAATGGACAGCGATGTTTCATTACAATATGGGACGAAAGACTGTTAATGAATCAGCCGTGTGTCAAGATACATATAAAAGGTATGAATGAGATGCTGTGGGACTACACTGTTTTTTTTACTCTTGCTGTGGTTTCCGAGCTGCAGTTGAGTTAGCTGATGCTAGCGGAGAGCGTCAATAACAACTAAATAAGAAGCTTTTTAACCCTCCGCCTTGCGTTTTCTTTTCTGGCACAAGACGTCGATGGAGTCATACTGTGCATAATAATATGAAACCTTAAGTTTGACTCACCTGTTCAAGTGCTGCCCACTTAAATGGTTCTGCGTTTATTGGGTTTATTTCCTCGGCTGATTTTCTCAGAGCATAGCCACATCACCAAACACTCCCGGAAACGAAACTTTCTCTGCGCTCATTGGTCACCCGGAGGAGCTGCGTAAAGAAGGGGCCGTCTACAAGCGCAACTGAACTGTCAATACGAAAATGTATCATTGAATGAAAGACTCATATTTATTTATTGTCGCAGTGTAAAGAGCACACATGGCTGTGCACGACCCCAGAGTGAACCTTATTGTGACCAGAGGGAGACAGCTGGGGAGGAGCCTGCTGCTGCTCGCCCACTACACCTCTGTGTTCGCGGCCTTCGTGGGCCGCTCTGTGCAGTGGATGGTGGAGGCGCTCCGCTGGCTCTGCCTCTTTGCCCGCTACACCACCTCCATGTTTGACTCCATCTACAACGTGTTGACCTGGGGCCGGAGGAGAAGTGCCCCCGGGGTCAGAGAGGTGTCTCCAGCCCCTGACCTAAAGCCAGGGGGATAATAAAGTAAACAGGAGACTTTTGATATTGTTATCATCCTACATGAAGGATAACGATGCCTTATGAAGTCGGTTCTTTTAACACTAATCCTGTGTTAGGCCATTATAAGGCCTATTTTTATCGAGTGAAACTCTAATGAAGGTCTGGACTCACTGGGCTATAGTTTGGCAGTTTGAAGTCATTTCTTTATAGGTGCCATGATACAATTAATGATGCAATGTTTACAAGTATGATCATGCAACCTTAGCCATGCTGCAGTCCACACAAATATTTAACTCTAAGAAGATGCATTTCTTTAAAAAAAGTAACAAAAAGTTACCAAAGTTTTGATTTGTATTTTTATATAACTATATATCTTTTGTATTGTTTATTGTGGCAGTGTGCCACATGAATACGATTGAAGAGGAACAAATCACTAGAGATTTTCTTTTACTGTGGTATGTCTTTAAAACCCTTTTGCATGTTTATATTTTTAATGAGTTGTACTGTGTTATGTATTGACACTGAAAACTACTTTCTGACAATTTCAGCAGTGGCACTAAACCTAAAATGGATGAATGAAGTATTTTTAATCTTTGTAATTTTTATTTTATTTTTGTATTAACATATTATTGTACCTAATATAGGCTACATTTATTTTTGTTATGCTAAATGTACTTAACATACATGAACAATCCTTCACTTGGTTGGAGTTATGTAATTTTTGAAATTCTACTAACATTTTGCTTTGAGTGCTGTGAAGGTGAAAAAGCGCTGTATAAAAATGTAACCTTTTATCTTTCTATTAGTAACAACCTCATGATCCCATATTTGTGTTAAATAAACACTTGTTTTTTTTCAACAAGCATTCTGTTTCCAGAATCAGGGTTTACTTATGTCTGAAATAACATAAATACTCTCAATTTGTTGTTTATGAAGGACTTGAAACAACCATGAGCTCAGCTGTGTAGATGTCCTCTGTCTCCACGTGACACAGGGATAACACATGATTGCATGTGTCAGCACATCTCTGAAACATGAATATGAGTATGAGGACTAAGCTTCTCATCGGCTAGTTTCAGGATTAGAGTGATAAGACTGGAGGAGGGCACTTGGGGCTCACCTCCAAACTGAGTCCACTATAAAAGCGCCCCAGCAGAGGGACAGCCCGCCCTATGTCCAGTGTGTGACTGTGAAGAGGGAAGCCCTCTGTCTCACAGTAGACCAATTGGACAGTCAGGTGTCCTCACTCAGCTCTCAGAACAAATGGGGAACTCAAATGGATGTACAGTGGATGATCTACAGGCAGTGGAGATGCACCTGTGGTACAAGAAGTTTATGACGGAGTGCCCCTCAGGGCAGCTCACTCTGCACGAATTCAAACAGTTCTTTGGACTGAAGGGTCTGGACTCAGAGGCCAATGCCTACATTGAACAGATGTTTCGCACATTTGATATGAACAAGGTAAGGCATTCCATTCAAGGATCATGGCTAAGGAACACAATTTTACCTGGATTTAAAAGTTATTATCTGAAACAATATTTTTTCTTTATACAGTTTATATTTGAAGCCAACTAAGCAAAATGTTAATATTCCAGAAGACAGAAAGCAGTGTAGAAATCGCCCCTTCATTTTCATGTTTCTGGATTCTTTATAATCTTAATATTTCAATGTTAAAATGATTTGAGTCTCAGACTAATATTTGCTCAAACAGTAGTTTTTAATACATGGTCATAACCAAGATCTTGTTCTTATCTCTCTTGTTGAGAGACAGGGTTACTGGGTCATATTTAGTCTTCCCTACAGCTCACTGCAGTAATCACATGCATAATTTAACAGAAGAGTATCTGAGACAATGCTGTGAATCAAACTTTCTTGTTCTTGTTAACAAGCAAACTGTCTCTGTAGTTAACGTCCCATTCTGGCACACTCCATTTCCCATGAAAAGCCCATCTTTGATACAAACCTTCTGAATGCTTGTCATTCACTCAACAGGATGGCTATATAGACTTTATGGAGTATGTAGCTGCCTTGAGTCTGGTGATGCGTGGAAAGATGGAGCACAAGTTGCGCTGGTATTTTAAACTTTATGATGTGGATGGCAACGGGTGCATCGACCGACACGAGCTGCTTAACATCATAAAAGTAACATTTACATTTGATGTTTGTGATTTTCTGCACCGCCTCGGGCTACAGCTCATGTGTCTCTGTTGCTTCAGGCAATTCGAGCAATCAATGGAAATGAAAATCAGGAGTGTACAGCCGAGGAATTCACCAACAAAGTGTTTGACAGGATCGATATCAACGGAGATGGTAAGTGTGCTCAAGTGTAGGCACATATACATGTGCAGCATATGATGAAAAAGTTTGACAGAAGCGAAGGAATACCATGGTTACAGGTCAGGTTACCTGAAACAGTTCTGTCGTCACAGGTGAACTATCTTTAGAGGAGTTTGTAGCTGGGGCTCGCAGTGATGAAGACTTCATGGAGGTGATGATGAAGAGTCTGGATCTCACTCACATTGTGGCGATGATCCACAACAGAAGACGCAGCATTTAGGTCCTGATGATGTGACATTCCCGCGGGGCGACACTGTGTAATAAACTGGACTGGCCTCATGATTGGCAGGTGTCTCATTGTGGTCATTTAATGACACTGAGCTCAAGGCCACTTTGAGAGATGAAAGGGAGAAGAGGAACTGCAGGGAGATAATTTGCACTTTATAGCTTTAATTGTGTTTCCAATTATTTGATGCTATGATTCCCATTTGTGTCCGTGTCCTTTTGTATGTTTGACAGTGTTTTGTTTTTATATGACATAAATTTAAACCTTTATCGTGTTTGAATTTTAATATGTTGTTGCCATAGCAATTAACAGTTAACAACAGAAATATGATCTTTTTAAATGGGCAAAAGACATAGGCTGAAAAGTGTTAAGCTAAAACATATAAATTTTGACCATAAGTTCCCCCCTAGGTATAATATAAAGACATTGTATTTTTAGAACTGCACCATGTATGTTGTATGTTGGGTTCCTACACTGTCTGGTTAGCAAACAGCTGCGAGCAAGGTAAATGTTTGCTTTTGTCAGATTAGGCTCCCGGTATAATGTTCTTTTATCCAAAGATATCTACGTATTTTTAATAGTAAATGGCAATTACACATTTATTATCAAAATAACTTTATTTTGCTACTATTTCATGAAATATAAATTTTCACTTTTTCAATTTCTTTGATTATTTTCTCCAATGTAACACATTACTTTACATTGTGCACATAAAGCCACCACTAGAGGTCAGTCCTATAACTGAATTATTTTAACAGGATCCAGGCTGAACAGTCTGAGCTCCAATTTCACACCATGCGTGCGCTTAAGTGCATTCAAGTGCAAAGCTCCTTATGTCTTACTGTCTATGTGTGTCAGCTCTTCCTTTGCACAGCAGCCTCAGAGGAAGTCGTACAAATACTTGACAATATCAAAGTTTACTGTCCTAGAAAAAAACCCAAGTTGGACACTATTAGTGAAGTCTTTTTCCACAGTCGACTGGAAATCAGTAATAAAAAATGTACATACTTAGAGATGGCACAAATGAAGTCCATAGAAACGGCACACTTGTACTTAGGGGCATCAAGTTGATCATCGTGACTGACCTGGTTCAGCAGCTGCAAGGTCACCAAAGAGGAGATCTAAAGGGGGACAAAACCAAACTAGCCCCACATACTGAAACACTTTAAACAGGAGCAGATATTAATTCATTTATTCAATATTTTACCAGGTAAATCAACTGAGACACCTTCTCATTTGCAATTAACGACCTGGCCAAGAGGCAGCATACAATAGCAAATACAATATACAGTAGAACAGGAATGATCTAAGCACACAGGCTGAATATACAGTGTAGCCTGAACAAATATAACGTATTATAATAAAAAATAGGCCAATAAAAATAGGCCTGAAATCCTTCAGTGTTTTTTGTTGTGTTGATAAAGTTCTGACCTGAGAGAATATGCTGGCTGTTGGGGCCACTCTGCTGTCCACAACACTGTAGAAGATTGCCAGCATGCGATCAAGAGGGAAGGGCTTAGGTCCCAGGAGATGATTACTGGTCTGGACATAATCAATAAACAAAGCATTAAACAAAAACAAACTAACCAAAAAATAAATGTTTCTGAAATGTTACCTTTTCATTTTTCTTCAAAAAATTAGCTTTTTTTATTTTACCATGATGCTGTTGAGAAAAATCAAATAAATACACAAATTTAAATAAATGGAATCTATATATAATTTAGATATTACACAAAAGTAGTTCTTTTGGTACCTTTACGAAGAAACGTTTGTCTGTGCGGGCTGGGTTGTACGATGCCAGGTAGGCAGCAATCAATAGAAACTTGGAGTAATAAGGCAATTCAACATGAGTGTGAGCTGATAAACCTTTGAAGATAATTAAAACATGCTAAATAAATTCATTCAATAAATAAAATGAAAATATTGATTTCACTTTAGATGGCATCAACAATACCTCTCACAGCTCCGGCTTCTTTTTCCTCCATTTCTTGCATCTGCTCCCACTGAAGACTGAACACACATTTTAAATATAAAGGACAATCCAAAAATGTTTTTGCTCCACGTAATATAAAACAGATACAAACCTGGACACCTCTCGAAGATAAACTGTTTGCATGGCTTTTTTCAAATGAGGTTCAATGTTTCGCCACAATTTGTGTGTGTCACTTTCTTTAACTGAAGAACAAATAGATTTCATGCAAGTCACACACTTTTTTTCTTCTCAGATATTATAAAACCATATTAGGAACAGCGAAAGCTAAAATCTGCAAAATGTTGGAAACTGGTAGCCAAGGCAACATCACAACAATTTGCAATTTTTTTTCCTAAAGCTGGCCAAATAAATGCACAAATACCAGATCTTCAACATGTAGCACACATATTGTATAATAAAAAGTGTTTTTGAATTCCTGCTGCAATTGGTCAAAAATGACTCTCAGATACCTTTGCCTTCTTCCAGTGGTTCACAGAACTTAGAAAAATTAAGAGCAGCCTGTTAGAAAGAAAGGTAAAACCTTTATTTCACTGAAAACAATGTCTGAATTACTGTTTAGTGAGACCAACTGACCAGGTGGCGCAGTTCTCGGAGGTCCCGACAAACAGAGTAGAAAACACCCAACAAGATGTTGATGTACGAAGAGTAAAACTCTGCTGAATATGAAGGATGCTTATCCTTTGACAATATCTGCTGCAGCTCACCTGAAAGAAAAAACACAAGCAGAGCTAAAAGACACTAAGATGTGAGTGTGAAAGTTAAAAAACAGTATTGTTTCACACTTGGAGCAGAAGTGTAAGAACAAAATCACAGGTACATCCAATGCGTCACATGATGTCACATGACAGATTGAAGCTGTGTCCTGATACCTTTACTGTAGTCTGGGAAATGCAGCAGGAGGGGCTCGAAACAACCAGTGTTTGGTCTGAATTTATCCCACACAATTTCACTGAGCAGAATCACTGTAACATTGTCTTCAACCTGAGTAAGACAGACAGAAATGCGATCATTCAGGCAGAGCAAAACACAGAGTAAATTCAATTTCACAATTTATCGTCTTATGATTAATTCTAATGCTCAAAATGTATGATTTATCTAAATGCACTGAAAGAAAACAGCACTGAAGAGACATTTTTTCTACTGCATAAATTGGAATAAGTGAAGGATGGTCTATTTTGTAAGTATTCATCTCAAGGTTAGCGATTATCATGAAGGGCACAAAAAGAAGCAACAACAAGGCTATATTTTGGGGTGGATACACATACACACCATGATACATGAATTAACTGATAAATGAATGTGTATTTATTTCAGACAATGTCAATATACCATATAGGAAATTGTTCCCTTTTCTTGTTTTATGTCAGAAAGGGGATTGAAAACAATTTAAGTCCACAGTTCCATTATATGTATTCAGACTCACCAGTTCCTGAAGACGGAGCAGAGCAGGAAGTAGATTGGCGTCTGCGTCCCTCAACATCTCAGCCTTTTCCATTATCTACAAAGCAAAAAAACTCTCATTTTAGGTAACATTTTAGGTAATTTCACTGATCATACTTGTTTATATGAACAGTAGAGCACTCACAATGTATCTGGTCTCTTTGGCAGGTGACTCTGAGCTCTGTTGTCTGTAGATGCGGATAAAATCAGACAGAGACGGACCACGAGGGAGCAGAGAGGCAGCATCAGCCCCAAAGAAGGATTGTAGTACTTGTTCAAAAAGCAATGCCACTGAGAGACATTCAACACAGCTGACCATGGCATGGGGCAGCTGCAAAAACAAAAGGAATAAATGTTCAAAGGAAGGAACTGTTTTATTTTTTGCCCTTTTATTTAATTAATCAGGCTATATTATCAATATTTCTTTCATTTTTGTAATTGTATGTAGGGATAGGGGTTTTAAAAATGATAAGAATTTGTTAAACTAAAAGAAAAGTGTGTCTTTAAATGTATTAGTTGAGGTGTATGTAAATATCACTATACCCTTATTTGAAAGTTTATAATATATATTTTAATACTGAAACTGCATTATACCGATACTAAAAAAGAGCTACACGAGTATCCAATATCAAGTAATTCCTTTATTGTCTGAAGGTTTTAATAATAAAAAAAAATACTATACAGTGTGGTTTGACTAGCAGATTTGCTGACATGGCACAGTGGAGCAAGGATTTGTGCTGAACTGAGAATAAATCACCAACATCATCACAAACTTCACACCTCCTCAATCATGGTTTTGACGGTGGAACATGTGACAGTGTTATTACCTCCTCACAATTTAAAAACCTCAGAATTACAGAATTTCACAACAAAAATTATTTTTAGAAAATATACTTTACATTACATAGGGCACATAATTTATAGTCTAACTGAATATAAAACGCTCATGGAGTACAATTCAAACTACTGTGTAATTTTTGTTTTAGGATATGCAAATATGTGTTCTTGTACCTGACATTATTCCATGTTAACATTGGTCAATAATAAAAATGCAATATATAAATTACCTAGGAGATATGTTAATGCTTAATTTCAAATGAAGACATAATACAACATCTTTGGCATGCTGCTTACCTCTAGTTGTTTCATTAAAATATTTAGTACATGGCTCTTCCCAGAGGCTCGATGCCCATAGATAAAAACTGAAGGGTAACAGGGATGCTCAGGCTGCAACAACACAAAGACATAAACACTCTTAGCAATAAAATAATTACACTCATTAAAAGTGTACTAGTATGTAACTAACAGTGGTGGATGAAGTATTTAATTTTGTTACTTCAGTAAAAGTAGTACAAGGCAAAAGATTAGTTAAATAAAAGTAAAAGTATCATATGAAAAAAATGTAATGTAAAAGTATTTAAGTACCTGTTTAAAAATGCACTTTAAAAATTAAAAAGCATTTTCCAGAGATTTTTTGGAAATTAAAGCATTAAGCGTAGCGATTTTGAGAAAGGATTAAATTCTAAATGATTTAACTGATTTCTTAAATTTTCAAGCAGTTATTGTGTATTTGTGTATTTGGTGGAGACATGAACTCAATTTAAATAAACTAAAAATATGTCTCAGTCATTTCAAAAGGTCTCACTCCATAAAGAAAAGTATTTTTACTTTTTAGTCAAGGTCTGCAATGTAGTGCAGTAGAAAGAACAGATAGGCTACCTGCTCTCAAATGTAGTGACGTAAAAGTATCCACTGTAAAATGTACTTAGGTAAAATATAGATATGTAAAGATTTTACTTAAATATTGTTTTTGTTTTTTTTTTCTTTTGTACAAGTTTTCAATCATAAAAAGCAATAACATGTTTACAGAGACAAGCAGGTGGCTCCAGAACAGAAAAGTTATGCAGTGCACCTTTACTGTACAGTCAGTCGACATAAGATGCAGTATTAGAACAAGTGCATGGATGTGTCATGGCAGTTTATATTTTAGAACATGTTACGCCAACCTGGCCCATGAGAGACAACAGGAGCCCAGCCTGAGCCTCCCGGCACGGTAACAGCTCTGCCACCTTCTGGAGTTTCTCCTCGTCATATCCCGGGTGTTGCAGCGGTCCAGTCATTCCGCGTTTTCAACAACTAAACCACAAACACGCGTAGAAAACTATCAGTAGTAACAAGGCGAGAGAAGAGCGTCCTCACTTTTCTCTCTGTTGTTGGTTGTTTCGCGCGTGTCCTCTCGTCACACTCTCACTTCCTGGATCTTGGGCCAATCGGAATTGAGACAAGGAATTGTGGGTAATGTAGTTTTTGAACTTCAAGTAACAAAATGACATTTTTCATTGGTCCTAAAACAAGACAAACAGGTGAACACATTAATAAGAGGACAGGCCTTACTGCTGCTACTTCAACTCGGCTACAAACAAAGAAAAGGCAAATAATGTAGCTGAAGAAGGCAAAAACTATTTCAAAAATTGCTCCCAAAAATCATAATCACATAATAATCATAGCTAATGTTTTCTGTTCCTGTTACATTTGGGTGGCATCTTTTTTGAGGTTTGCCGCGGTTACAGGCAGAAATGCTCTACGTCAGAGCGGGATTAAAAGCGGTGGGCTGGTCCTATTTCATCCAACTGTATTCATGGCACTGAGGTGCCGCGGCTGCTGAGGGCTCCAGCATCGAGCATCACCGTGATTCACAGAGACAAGCTCAGCATTTCACCGCCTGAAAACAGCGACAAACCCGAGTGACAGCTGCCGCTGGTCGCAGGGGTATGTGATGTAGTCTGGAGGTGATGAGGATACAGACGTAAACGCACGAACTGTAGTGAACCCTTATTTATTTGTTTGGGATTACGCTTTGGATTAACGTCTGTTTCCTCGTGTAAAATACACCGCGAAGAGAGTGATGAGTGAAAAACAGTGGACAGTAAAGATTTCGACCAAGTCTTGCATGTGACGGTGTGGAGAGGCTGTGGCGAAAGCTGTCAATCCTGACTGAGGTTTTGGTAAACGACGGGGGAAAGCCGAGTGGGAATGGTGCGTTCAGGGTTCATGCCTTAGTTTGGTAAAGAAGCTACTGATTGATTTGAGCACTTCTTTTGCCTCAGAGGATGGTGCCCGGGGCTCCCAGTACCGGTATGCTCCCAGCGTCTGAAGCTGCCAAAATCTACCAGACCAACTACGTGCGTAATTCCCGTGCCATCGGCGTGTTATGGGCCATTTTCACAATCCTATTTGCCATTGTAAACGTAGTATGTTTTATCCAGCCTTACTGGATTGGGGACGGCGCGGACACCCCTCAGGCGGGTTACTTCGGCCTCTTTCACTACTGCATCGGCAACGGGTTGTCCCGGGACCTAACGTGTCAGGGGAGTTTTACTGAGTTCAGCTCCATCCCGTCCGGTGCGTTTAAAGCCGCTTCATTCTTCATCGGGATGTCCATGGTGCTCGTGCTCACCTGCATCGGCTGTTTCGCGCTCTTCTTCTTCTGCAGCACCGGCACAGTCTACAAGATCTGCGGCTGGATGCAGCTGGCAGCAGGTAGGCTAAGCAAGTGGGCAGTCATAGCCTAAATAAAACTTCAAAATGTTTAATGAATGCAGGCTAATTACAAGGGGGAACATTGGCTCTTGGAGGCTCTGTATTATGAAGGCTCTAAAGTTCATCATAGGCCATTCATCAAAAGAGACAACGGACATAGTCTACCACATGGCCGTGTGAAAAGTTTTTGAAAGTTCTGAAGACTTTACAAATAAATCCAAAGTGCTTAGTAATAGGCTTTTTGTCAATCCCAAAGTCCTTAAACACACACAACACACACACACTTCAAAACAAGTGACTTATATATATATATATATATATATATATATATATATATATATATATATATATATATATATATATATATATATATATATATATATATATATATATATATATACACATACACACACACACAAAATAAAGTTTACATTTCTGGTGCTAGAACACCTGCTTAGGCTTGTAGACTCCATAGAGACCTTGTTAAATCACATGTTCCTAAACAAAAAGATGACCTTGAGTGAAGTGTTGTAGGCCACACTGTCAGTACAGGCAGTATTTTTTCTGCACACTGGCATAAAGACGGTTTTAGAGACTTTGAGCACAGTCTCTTCCTGGAGATAAATCTAATAATCTTCCACGGTCTGCTGCAGTGGCGAGCTGTCTCCAAAAGAGAATTAAATGTCATAACCAATTTAATCTCATTCATCCAAAGTGTCTTTTCACGCCGAAGCACACGCAGTCACCAAATATACAACATTAATCGGAACATCATATCTCCTAAGTCCAAACCATCAAAATGCACAGGATGGAATGCATCAGGTAAAACAGAAGATATATCTGGCAATGGTAATATAAATGTTCCTATTTTGTAACAAATGTGCTGTTTAGTCTCAGAGTGCTGAGCTGTAATCAGTATGATGCAGATTATTGGAGCCTCTCCCTCCACTATGACAGCCCAGTTTAAAGTTATTTTGCTCTTTTTGATGAAATAATAAAGAGCTGGTTTCACTGAATCTCTTTCACTTGAATTTACATGTTTAAGTTCCTTAAGGTGTAAGGACACTCCACAAATAAAATTCTAAATAATGTCTATAGTGGCATGGTTCCCCTGTAAGATACATAAATAATTGAAGAAAAAAACAAAGGTTGACACTTATTACTGCATTCCCCACCATATTGTATAGTTTAGCAGCAAGGTGGTAGTTGTTATTCAGGTTTAGAAATGGGACAATAAAAAATAATATAATTTATTGTGATCACACTTCTCAGCCTTCCCGGTAAGGTCTATGCCAGGTACTGGAGAGGAGAATCCGGCCGATAGTCGAACCTCGGATTCAGGAGGAGCAGTGTGGTTTTCGTCCTGGCCGTGGAACACTGGACCAGCTCTACACTCTCCATAGGGTGCTCGAGGGTTCATGGGAGTTTGCCCAACCAGTCCACATGTGTTTTGTGGATCTGGAGAAGGCATTCGACCGTGTCCCTCGTGGTGTCCTGTGGGGGGTGCTCTGGGAGTATGGGGTCCGGGGCCCTTTGCTAAGGCTGTCCGGTCCCTGTATGACCGGAGCAGGAGCTGTGTTCGCATTGCCGGCAGTAAGTCAGACCTGTTCCCGGTGCATGTTGGACTCCGCCAGGGCTGCCCTTTGTCACCGGTTCTGTTCATTGTATTTATGGACAGAATTTCTAGGCGCAGTCAGGGGCCGGAGGGGGTCCGGTTTGGGGACCACAGGATTTCATCTCTGCTGTTTGCGGACGATGTTGTCCTGTTGGCTTCATCGAACCAGGACCTGCAATGTGCACTGGGGCGGTTTGCAGCCGAGTGTGAAGCGGCTGGGATGAGGATCAGCTCTTCCAAGTCCGAGGCCATGGTTCTCGACCGGAAAAAGGTGGCTTGCCCTCTCCGGGTGGGTGGGGAGTCTTTGCCTCAAGTGGAGGAGTTCAAGTATCTCGGGGTCTTGTTCACGAGTGAGGGAAGGACAGAACGTGAGATTGACAGGCGGATCGGTGCAGCTTCGGCAGTGATGCGGTCGCTGTATCGGACCGTTGTGGTGAAGAGGGAGCTGAGTCGAAAGGCGAAGCTCTCGATTTACCGGTCAGTCTTCGTTCCTACTCTCACCTATGGTCATGAGCTCTGGGTAGTGACCGAAAGGACGAGATCGCGGATACAAGCGCTCGAAATGAGTTTCCTCCGCAGGGTGGCTGGGCGCTCCCTTAGAGATAGGGTGAGGAGCTCAGTCACACGGGAGGAGCTCGGAGTAGAGCCGCTGCTCCTCCACGTCGAGAGGAGCCAGTTGAGGTGGCTCGGGCATCTGTTCCGGATGCCTCCTGGGCGCCTCCCTCGGGAGGTGTTCCGGGCATGTCCCGCCGGGAGGAGGCCCCGGGAAGACCCAGGACACGCTGGAGGGACTATGTCTCTCGGCTGGCCTGGGAACGCCTCGGGGTCCCCCTGGAGGAGCTGGAGGACGTGTCTGGGGTGAAGGAAGTCTGGGAGTCCCTGCTTAGGCTGCTCCCCCCGCGACCCGGCCCCGGATAAGCGGACGAAAATGGATGGATGGATGGGTGATAAAAGTGATAATCACCATAAATAACAAGAATGTATAAAAAAGATAGTTTTCCATCATGTTTTCTTCTATATCTTTGTTGTTTTCACTTTCACTACAAGGTACAACACTGTTTAAATATGGAGCATATTCATAATATTATCCATTATTCATATTCATACAATTTTTTAACTGTTGGTCACTTTAATAATTATCATGATATAATCGTTAATCGCAATTAACTTGGCCACGATAATCGTGACACCAATTTCCAATATCGTCCCATACCTAGTCAGGTTATTATTAAGGACAGTGCTATGCAGGTTTACAGCTTGTAAGTGTCAATTCAGCCAGTGCTTCATGTGTTGCATCTTTTCAGTACTTCCATGGTGAAGCCAACCATTAGATTCGAGCTGACTTAAATGGGCAATATCGCAACACTGCTTGTCGCTAAGCAGCCAAAATCCTTGTGTGATTGAAAAAAAAAAAAAACATTCTGTGGCTTATTGCTTTTAGATGGCATTTCAGGTGCTATAGGCAGCAGTGATGTGGTATCAGAGGCCTGGCGTATGATGATGGTTTGTGCTGAATGTTTAATGAGAGCTGTCCTCGACTTGCAGAGATTAAGGGAAAAAGCTCAGAATAATGATTGCTCTACGACTTAAGGGCCATTGTGTGTTTTCAGATGAGGAAACCCAAAGAGGTCGTACTTAAGTTTGCAGAAGTCGTTTGCATAACTGAAGTGGCTGGCAGACGTACATCAGACAGCTCTGGCGCGTTGCCGAAAACTGAGAGGGAAGAACTCTCCTTTTGTTTGACAGTTTTATGTCTCTGGATAACGTCCCTCTCATTAGGAGGAAAGGCTCAGTAAATCAAGAGACACTGCAGTAGGACATCTCAGAGAAAGAGGTCAACATTTTATATGCAACAATTTTTACTCTTGTGTCCCAAATTATGCAAATACTCTCCTTTTGTCCTTCTGGAAAAGTTTATGCCATATCTGAACTACACTTTATTGTGCTGTCATGATCATACGATTTCAAACTCGATTTCAATACTACGGAATAGACTTGACCAATTCTGATGATAATTTGGCATTAATAGAATGCCATTTTCAACATTAAATCGTAGTACTTTCTTTTATATTATCATGTGGTCTTTTGAGCTGGCTGATATGGGATAAAAAAAGAATCACGATTTCCCCCCAAATTGATCAATCTCGATTTTCAATTCAATCTTCTTCTATCTTATGAAAAACACAGACATGTGGACTTCGGGCATAAAGCGCAGGGTGTCAGGGTCACTACAGTTTTAATTTCATGTTGATAGGACCAATAATTTCAGAGAAAATTTCATATATGTATGTATGTATATATATATATATATATATATATATATATATAGTTTTCTGTTTATTAAACCTCAAATCTCACTTACACATACAGTCCATTATACAAGCATACACATACACACACACACATTCACATACACACCCCTACACATACACACACATACACATACACACACACACCCCTTCACATACACACACACCTACACACACACATACACATTCACATACACATACACACACACACACACACACACACACACACATATATATATATATATATATATATATATATATATATACACACACACACACATATATACACATATATACACAATCCAATTGTGAATACTTAAATTAAAACTTGTGAAAACTTGTGAAGACTTAAGTCAAAACTTGTGAAAGGGGAGGACACAGGAGACATAAAGCGAAGTGCTGTGGCTCAAGATGCTTTTTCCTAACCAAGAGAGCATAAATCCTCCTCAGCAATATGCCCCCTTACACGACTGGCTGTAGACTTATTGATTAAAATGTGCATGCCTTATTGTCAAGATCGAGCAAAGTTAAGATTTTGATCTAACGATCTTTCGATTTTTGGCACAGCCCCAGTGGCTTCATATCCGTGTAATCCCTCAGTTGTTCAGGTGATCCATGGGTATAAACTAGTCTATTTGGTTTTGTTCTGATACAGCTCAAGATCATTCTAAAGCTATTCAGGCAAGGTTAATTTCTGACCTGTGAATGTGATTTTTAGTATCATAACTTGCTCAAATGAGTATCTAGTTTTGATACTAGGTTTAATCGATTAGTTCTGTTTTTCGATCCCTGTACTATCATGAACACGCAGCATATACTTTTTTTTTTTTTATTATTATAACATTATGAAACTTTTTTTTAAAACATAAAATGTAATATTCTGGTATGTGTCTAAAAATTTGCCATTAGTCTGTGCCAAACCAGTTTCAAAGCGCTGCACAATGGAATGCTGATGAATTGCCAAAAATCTCCTTAAAGCTCATCTGAAGCGCATTGCACTGACGAATTGTTTTAGTTATTTGTTAATTTGCTATCCATCTTTGGCAAGAGTACCCAGCAAATTTACTTTTCAAATT